GGACTGTGTACAACTCGCTGTGAACTCGCTCAGGGCGGTTCTACGTTAAAACGGTAGTGTCTGTCAACATTCGTGGGCGGGGCCTGTGGCTAATGTGACGTCACATTAGCACCAATGCTAAAAATAGGCCATTGGGAGACATTGCTTATTATTTATGGGGATTTAAAAAAAGGAGTGGGTGGATTTTTATCATTATAGGGTGGTTGTGTACACACACTGCCAACACACATTTATGTCCAAACACCTTGCAAAAGTGAATTTTGCATAATCGGTCCCCTTTAAGGTGTGTCAGAAAAAGAAAAAAAAACACTGTAAAGATTGTACCTTAAGTGGTACGAAATGTTTTTTGCACATTCTCTACCCTTAAAGGTCCACATTAGTACCTTAGAGTAGTAATATGTACCCTTAATGTTTACATTAGGGGCAAATGAAGTACAACGTTGTCCCTTTAAGGGTACTGCTCCAGTGATAAGCTGTTGTATACCCCTAAAGGTACAATTTTAGCACATTTTTTTTCTGAGAGTGAAGGGAAGTTTGAAAGGGAATCTTTGGTTTCCATTTATACGATCCGATGAATGGGACAGGTGGTTAAACAGAGAAAGGTGCCCATGTGTCTCAGCAGAGCAGTTGTCTGGTGAACTGTAGACTCTGTAAGAGTCCCACCTGTCCACAGAGAATGTGAACTAACAGACCTCGACAGTTTTCAGCACAAGGTGGTGAGTATCAGCTGCGGCAGTCCTGCTCTGTCAATTTCTGATTCCATCGTGTCGCCACAGAGGTTCGTAGAACTAAGTAAAATTTCCTTCACAGTTAACTTGACTCCTCAAACAAGCCTCTCCTAATTTCTCCAAAATGTGAGAATTTTTTATGCTTTCTTTCTAGAATCTAATTGGTCTAACTTTAAAGGTGACATATCATGAAAATCTGACTTTTCCAGGTTTTAAGTGCTATAATCAGGTCCCCGGTGCATCTACCAACCAAGGAAACGTGAAAAAGATTAACCCAGTAACTTTGTTTTGGTAAGCCTTTTTCTGCAAGCGTCTGAGAAAACGAGCACGTCTGATTTCGCTCCCTTGGTGACGTGTCAAATGAATCTCATTACAATATTACCGCCCCTTAATCTGCACGTTTCCACACAATGCACCGTCATTTTGATTTTGCAAGCGACAACAGTG